AGGTCTCATTTTTCAATGCCTGGAGCTGCAGGGTATTAGTTATGCAAATATTGACGTGCAGCTTTGGCCTGCTAGCTATCAATTGAAATCAGCAAATCGATGATCCTAATAGCTGCTCATTAGCCACTTGATGCATTTCCAGGGCTAACATCAGAACCTGTCAGCAGCCCCTAATCAATACAGTCTAAAAGTATTACCTAACCAAGGCCCTCACCGGACACCCTTTTTAATAACGTAAGTTGTGTGTCTGGCTTTCTGCATGCAAGTAAAAGGTCTGGGCTCAACGGCCCTGCGTCTAAGTAGGACATGCTCAAACTTCTCTGTCATGTCAACAAAATATCTCATTAGCAGGAACATTCCCAGACACCAAGCGGGCCCATTAGATTTCTTAATTTATTTGTTTTAGTGACGGTGTAATCAAAATCCTTATCCGCGAAACAAAATGTCTCACAGAGATTCATTTGGTAGTGATAATGAAATCTCATCAGTCGGATTTTAATAAGTAACCTATTGTTTCATTTTTTCTGTTGTTGTTCAGTCCAATTCCCAGGCATGCTTTGGAGCAGCCTGTTGTTTGGGCCTGGAGAATGGTACGGTAAAGACTTTGATGCAGCCAGGATGCTGCTGCTGAGAACAGGGCCAGACCGCAGCCCCTCGATCGCCCCCAGCACGCAGCCCTGCTAAGCTTAACTCAGCTGTTTGATGCCAAGCTCTGCGAGTGTGTGCCTCGGTGCATGCATGCGTGTATGTGTGTATGTGTGTGTGTTTACCCAGCTCAGGGGTTACATAAACAAGAGCAGCTAGCCTACAGGTAAGACCCACAGGAGACCAGCCAAGAGAGAGAGAGAGAGAGAGAGAGAGAGAGAGAGAGAGATGGAGCGCCAGTCTCTTACCTTGGCATTCCCCCGGTGCTGTCGCCATTGCTGGAGCTGGATATTCACTAATGAAGGGCGAGCTGGAAAATGACTAAAGGAGATAGTAAACAAAGTTACCACGCACACACACACACACACACACACATATTGAATACACGTGTGAGTGTGTTAATATAGTTAACTTGGTGGAGGCAAGCATCCGTGCATGTGTTTGTGTGCATCCCTGATGTATCTGGGGCTGCTGTAAAGAGATGGGGAGAATGTGGGCGGATGGGGGATTGGAGGCGGAGGCTGGCAGCGGGGCAGTTGGCCGCTGGTGCAGAGAAAGAAAGAGCGGGGAAAGGGATTGGAGGGGGGGTACAGCGGAGATAAATCATTAGAGAGCAGGTTATTGGAAATGCAGGGAGATAAAAGAGTGAAGAAGCCAGTAATTGCCTTAAAGATCAGACTACAAAGCATTACTTTGGATTTTACAAGGCCAGCCAGCAACAAAAGAGCAGTAATTTATGAGCTCAGTGTAAAAGAATAGCATAATTACATTAAAAATTAATGCTAATGAGGGCTAAAATGGGGAAGGTGGTTATTATGAAAGTTTGTATTCATCTTCCCCGGGTTGAATGATGGCTAGTGGCTTGATTAATGGCTTAATTTCTATCAATTAGCAGGCAAAAAAATCTCCACTGAGACGGGCCTAAATTGAGCATTGAATTACACATCTTTACCGCGGTGCACGGGGGGGGGGGGGGGAGGGCACATTATTGAAACCTGAAAGAGATGCTGCTGTGTGAGCTTGTGTGGAAGCTGGGCCTGTGTTACACAAGTTAGGTCAATGTTTTCCAGAAACTTGTGTTTGTATTGTAGGTTTTGCGTAGTCAGTATTCTACTGCTAAGAGAGAGAAAGATAATTGAAATATACATACAAATGTAATTTAAAACAAGTCTTTGTAATTTCTTTGCCAAATTGGAAAATATTATCTTCTTGATGAAACTGGCTAAATTAAAATGGGAGTTTTTTTTCTGACATGACCCGTCACAAATATATTCTTATATACTTACTGTGCTGAAGTCACACTACCCATTATAAATACAGCAGCACATTTTGCCCTTTCTTGATTTTTAATACATTCATTAAATAACTGTGTTTGCATTATAATTCCAAAACACTGTCAAAGATTTGCCACTATTTACGAGACCTCAACAAAACAAGCAGTTAGTTTTCCTTCGTATTTATTTTTCCCCACACAACAAGTGCTGCGGTAATTTAGCTGGCACGCTAGTGCACTCAATTACTGGAATTAATCAGCAGCCGCAATATATTCAGCTCGGCTGCTCTTGATTGACAAACTGAAGACGAAAGTCAAGTTTTACTGCTCAGATATAGACATGTGTTGTTGAACAGCTCCCTCTTCTGGAGGGGACGTGAAACTGCTGCGTAACGTTCATCTTCAAGGCTAAAGGAGATGAGCTGAAATCCCTTCTTATTGGCTGGTTTGATTTTCTCTCCTCGTCCTCTGGTCTTAATCAATGAAGTGGACAAACAGCTATTTAGAGAGAACAATAGCCTATTGATTCTGAGCCACTCATCAGCACTGCTGTCTGTCCAACTAATTTCAGTAATGAGAAGGCAAGTAAGTTTTTTGAGTGGCTCTTTTATACACACACACACACACACACACACACACACACACACACGGGCGCAAACATAACAGGACATGCGAAACGCACGTTAACATACATTGCTCAGTCACTATCCATTATTCTAATCTACAGATACAAAACAAAATGTATTGATTGAGTTTCCTTCCATTTCCTGGTTCGCAGTAATGGTTGTAATGCATTCAGCATATAAGTGCCATAGAGATCTAACAGTAACCTAATTTAAAGAAGTACATTCTGTACATTTAATTGTATCTATTTTTTGTTTCTTCTTATTTCTGTCTCTTTCTCTCCATCTGTCTTATCTCTCTCGGCTTTCCCCTTTATCCTCCTCTCAGCACTGACAGAGAAGCGTTCGTAATGCGGTGACAATCGAGTTGGCCTGTTAAATTAATTTGCCAGATAATGTGTCAATATTAAATATCAACTTTGACCTCTCTGAGCTGCGGAGTGCGCTCGCCCTGCTAGAGTATTGATTTTTGTCTGCCTCTAAGCTCGCTAGGCCGCACTCAAAGTCCATTACTTTTGATCTTCTCATGAAATACATATCTTTTCCCACTGACATCTGACAAACAGCATATGGAAGTCATTTTATCTACCAATAATGTGTTTGTCAAAAAGTCTGAGGTCTTAATGGATTCATGCGGCGCACACGGACATCCCAGCAAAGACAGGCCTGCCAAGGAGATGCTTTCAGATAGGGTGTGTGTGTATATGTGTTGATACATGTCGGTCTGGTAGTTTTCCATGTAGGGCATTCATGCTCAAAGGACAGCAGAGAAGAGTTAATTGAAAAAGTGAATTAAATTGTGCTGAATTAATTGTCGGCGTTAGTTTCCATCCGAGCCCATGCAGCCGTGCAGTGAGCGGTGATGGTGGTGTGAAGGACAGGCGACAGTCTCCAGGAGGATATTGGGCCAGTGTTCAGACTTCATCTAGCAGCCCAGTCAAGGTAATGACTATTTTTGGAGCCGCTGTGCAGTGCGTCTCTGCTCGCATCTTCCCGGCACAGGATGACAAGCCGATAGTCTGTCATAGAGGAAGGCTTAATTCCACTTGTCACTCAGTTGTCCAATTCTGCAGTGCATTTAAATCAAAACCGAGATTGTTTGAGTGCTATTATGAACTTTAATAGGGTGTGTGTGTCTGCTGTGTGTGTATGTGTGTGTGTGTGGGATAGCATGTGAGGCTTTGCTGCGGAAGCCGGAACAAATATTCATTTATTCATTAAACACCAGGGCCATGAAGATCTGTTGTGACACCCTTTCTGTAGCTACTAATGGATTGAATTAATTCCGGCTAATAGCTCCAATTGAATGCTGTGTGTGTGTGTGTGTGTGTGTGTGTGTGTGTGTGTGTGTGTGTGTGTGTGTGTGTGTGTGTGTGTGTGTGTGTGTGTGTGTGTGTGTGTGTGTGTGTGTGTGTGTGTGGTGTGTGTGTGTGTGTGGTGTGTGTGTGTGTGTGTGTGTGTGTGTGTGTGTGTGTGTGTGTGTGTGTGTGTGTGTGTGTGTGTGTGTGTGTGTGTGTGTGTGTGTGTGTGTGCATCCGATATACGTATATATGGCAGCCATGAGTGTAAATGCAAAATATGTAAGTTTGCACATGTGGAAGTACCTGCACTTGTATCCCAATGTTCTCTGTATGTGTGTGTGTGTGTTCCCACTTGTTTTCATGACACAGCCTACATCAGCGGCGCAGAGAAACATGGATGTCTGCTGGAGTGACAGATAGAGAGATGGGAGAGTGCAGGAGAGGACGGATGGATGGGGGAGAGAGGGATGAATATTGACTGATCAGTGGAGAGATTGACAGCCAGAGAATAATGGGAGCATTCAGACTCTGTCTTTTTTTTTTTTCCCTGTTACTAACTTTCCTGGCACACCTATTTTTGCCCTCCTACGCTGCGAAGACTGCTCTTGAATTCTTGAAATGATTTATTATCTGATATGCAGAGTCCTGATGTGTTTATATCCGAGAGTAATTTACTCGAAACCCTTTCTATCTTTTTGTTTGATTGGACAAGCCTGAGCAAAATACTTTCTGATACATGAAAAGTGTATGAAACCTAATCACATTTAGTCTCCATAATGAAATTCCATAGCAGTGACTTTGTGTTCATATTTTGATTCTTTTCGAATGCATTATCTAAGTGTAATTCACTGTCTGGCTATTATCTTGTTAGTGGGTTTTTTTTCCACTTGCCTTTTGTGGTGACTCTATGCCCTTGGCTAAGTAAAAGTCCTCTTTTAAAGAAGGCCAAGATTAAAATAGGGGAATATCAAATATTTTGTATTCTATCTGTCAAGGAGTATTATACAGATAGATAACATACAATCAACTAAGCCCATTCCAAATGAAATCTGGAGCCTTTCAGAAAAGGACAAGGGAAGGCCGATGCTGTGTGTGTGTTTCCGGACATGTGTGCACGCTTTTGTTCATCGCTCCTCTTCTGTGTAACATGTGTTTCAGAGGGACCTTCTCTGGAGGAGCAAGTGCGAAGGATAAAGGACATTGAGGCCATCGAAAGTGATTCCTTTGTTCCTCAGGCTTTCAAATCATCCAGGGATGATATAAAGGTGCGTTCTGTCCCTCTTTCTCTCCCTTCCCCTCACTCTCTCTATCTTTTCACTCCGTCTCTTATTGAATTTCCGTCTCTGCAAAGCTGTGCCGTCTGTCCAGAGACAGCCCAGACCAAATCAAACATTCATTCAGCGCCGTTTGTTCCGACCTGAGACGGTTTCATCAGGCGCTCCACTGTTCGCCGCCTCCAAAGCGGCAGCACCCACACAAAAGCCGCAGCAGGCAACAGCCATCCTCCGTCTCCCCTCTCTGTCTCCCTCTCTCCCCCCGCTGGTTGTGCAGATGCAGACAAAACACAGAAGTCATTATTGAAATGTTCCTGTCTCTGAAGGAGCAGGAATTAGATTTGTTGGGGCTCGTGGATGTTTTTGAAAAGATAGGCGACAACATGTGACAGCAAACCTGCACAGACCTCTGGGACACATCCTGGTGGTCCTGACACAGGTCAGGACCCCCGCGGCTGCAGCTCGGACTGCACAGGTCGCACATGAGCAGTTTACTATGCCTTTACCGTCCAAGAGTGCAAATGCTGTTTCAACAAGTTCAACGATTCAGCTCTTTTATGTCAGATTTGTGTGCACAATATTTAAAAAGTTAGATTTATACTGTAAAATCAACTCACAAAACATTATGCAGAGAGAAAAATATTTTCTTCAAATGCAAATGCAATATTCTCAAAGTTTGCTTTTCGAGAACAAAAGTAATAATTCAAATGTACACACTTGGTTTTCTTTTATAACAGTTCGATTGGTTTTCATACTTAAGATATCCAGACAATGAATCCTTAGTAGGGAATATTTGATAGTCTTTTAGAAAGATCACATCTTTGCCTGCAATGAAGGGAATATCAACTCTTTGCTAGTACGATAAATACTGTAGAAATATAAGTTGTTAAAACATTTTTCTTATTTTCTTTAGCAGAATAGAACAAGCAATCTACTGAATTATTTTATTTAGTATTGTGTGAGAATGCATTCTTTTAAATTATTCATTTTACATATGCGTTTATTTTTGTTTTAGTGTTGAAGGCCATTTACCAATAGGTCCACTGAAAATGTTTTAGCCACCCGGTGAACTTTGATATCTGCTTCACTTTATCTTTTGAGATTTCTATTTCAAGCAAGCTGTATACATTAGAAATGTATATTCAGCATATTATTACCAATAATTGTGTATTTTGGCAAATCGAGATACTTATGAGCAAGTGTGTTTTTGATCTCACTCACTTTTTGTATCCTGCCAAATACATTTTAAATTGATCTTTCCAACTGGGTAAACATTTGCTCTGTGCCGGTTTAAGAGTGTTGGAAAACATGAATGGATTTGGCATTTTGATATATCTTCTTTATCAAGGAGAATGTAAGGTTATCCATCCAAATGTTATCCATCGGAATGTACGTTTTATTATCTGTTTGTGTAATACCTCTAGGGAAGAGAAAGAATTACTTCTAAATATGAAATGTTCTTCTGTCAGCTTGGACTCTACAGATTGAAACAAGAGAGGGATGAAGGACCTTTGTTCTTTTCAGTTATAAGAAAGTGGAAGATACATTTATTTTATCTTGAACTTTAACAAAAAGTGGCCAACCATTTGGTTCTTGGTTAAATATTTCATAAGGCACTTCACTGAGACACTGCAGTTGCTGGTTAATAATGAAGACTTATGGAAAATGTAAGGCGGGAAACATGGGGGCATAATGAGTCAAGTGAGACAATAACAACAGATTCAGGATACAAGCTGATCTCTATCACAACACTGCTGTCTGTTGCACGAGACAGACTTTCACTGCCATCTGCTGGACAATCTTAATATTGCATTTAAAAATATTTTCTTTGTCCCAGTTTTATACTACATAAAAAGGTATGAAAATATACCAACCTTCTATATATATATTTATTTTGTATAGAGAAATCTACAAACAATATTGTTTAATACCAACATGAAATTATACAGTACCTGTGATAAAATAATTGCATTAATATTATATTCATAAAGGTACATTATCTTTCTTGTTCTTTAGCTATTTGCAATTCTTTTAGCTATTGGTAACGCTTTATTTCCTTTTTCCTTGTGTGACGATTATATGTCAATGTTACTTTGGTGTAATATTCTAAAGTTTAATTTTTCTATTTAAAAAGTAGATGGATCTACCATTTCTTTTATTGTTTCTTATTTGAGTATGACACATTTCTTTTATGTTTTATGTATTTCTTTGAGTACAGACTGAGCCAGTTGAGGTGAAGCAGGAATCGGAGAGCTCAGATCATCACAACGTCGATCTTCCTATCTCCATAGTCTACAATGACACTGACACCCTCGCCCATCCCTGTGTAAGTTATCCTATTCAAAAAGCTTTGCAGACTTGTCTTTAACACTTTCTGTGTGTATGAACAGCTTCCATCCTCAAAACAGCTAACGTTGATCTCACTTCTTGTCATTTTATCTTTTCGCCACCATACTGTTATTATGAGAATGGTTTTGCCTTTGGTTGACGAACTTAGTCAACTTTTTCTTTTTATAAAATACCTCTGCTGCCTCCACCACCACCACTATTTACTCCATTCCTGCAAATTCTGATACAGCGCCTTGTATAATATAGGATACTGCGGAATAGTAGATTACAGCCTCCTAACATCACCTCCTCCCCTGCCTGCAGACCAATGATGAAAAACGAGAAGGAAAACTTTAAACTCCAATAATGCTCCCTGGGGCTTCCCAGTCATTTATCTCCACTGGGGGAAACTAAGTTATGCCCTGACGTATGCAGATAACCTCCTCAAATACACACACACACACAACGCCTCCCAGCCAAAATGCACACACACACACACCCTCAGACAGGCTGATGTATGGCAGCAATATGCCCCAGGCGGGCCCCGGCCTCAGCTTCAGCTCCAGCTCCTCTTCCAATTAGAACAGATGAGTCCCATTAGCCCAGCCCAGATACTGTCATCCCACACACACAGCCTCATTAGCACCATGACACCAGTCCAGAGCCGACAGACAAGAACTCACTGGTGTTGAATCTAACACACAGATAACATGCGGTGCAGCTGTACGCGGCGTAGGTTAGGAATGAAGGATTGACGTGGCCGGGGCTGCTCCACAATCTGCATAATAATATACACATATCATCACATAGATACACAGTATGTACACATAGCCCCGCATGTCGACATTATCTCTCCCCCTCGCACAAACACACACAGTGAATACAGAAATGTGCCTTGCTTCTCGGTCGCATAGTCATTATGTTACTTCCTAATAAACAGATGCCTTCATTCATCAGACACTCGCAGCAGCAGTTTTATAGCCCGCTTACATTCAATATCATTACTGCTGTTGATGTACTGCGTACAATACCAGTCACATGTGTAGGCCTTCTCTATCTACCCACTGCTAGGCTCACAGATGAGTTGTGGGTTAAAATGAAGGGTTTTTTCACATGGATTTTGAAGTGAGCAGACAGGGAAAGACTAATAGGACACATAAGATACCACAGCCTTGTAATAGAGCTTCATTACTGTGACCCAGGGGTCCACGCTGAGGTCACATGTGTGTCAATGGGCTGTACCAACAACTCTGTGCCAGGCTCAAGAACTTACCAGGAAACAGCTCATTCATTCCTGTCACATTCTTGAAGTGAGATGTTTTGTAAGGTAACACGACATTGTTAGGTAATGACTCAAGTGCCAAAGTAGACTTTGGAGTAGAGCTTATACTGTTCTTTATCAATTAAAAGAAGAAGTAGAAATACACTGTGGTAGATACATAGATATCACATAGTAAACAAATGTGTGTAAAAACACACATTTGCTTTGAGAGGGCTGTAGAGATCACAGACATGTTAAGAATTGGCTGCTTAAAACATTAGTTATTATTGATTGGTAACTTTTGTGAATAGTTGTTTAAAATATCTTGCCAAAAAATATGTTTTCATGTTCTGAAATATGGAAATTGGATACTTTTCCTTGTCTTACATCAGTCCTTTAAATAATTTGAGCTCCTTGGACAATGCTTTGGGCATTTTTCACAGTGTTTCAATATTTAAAGACCAATGTACTCCCTCGTGTCTAATATTTCAATTTGATTCCGTCACATAGAAGTAATGCATTATTTTTGTGTTTTTAAGTAGACTTAGTCTTTCCACTATTACATGCCATGTTCTATCCTGTAGAATGCAATTATTATGATATCCTTGGTTTGTTCTGATGGGATTGATATCTATACATAGCTATGTTATGTTTGTCTAAATGCACTCTTGAGGAAAAAGGGAACAATGTTTCTTGAATCCTGATATTTAACGGTAGTGTTAACTTCACTCTGTCGCCATTTGTAACTTTGCCTTATTACTAACATGTCTCTTCACGCTGTCCTGCAGTTGTTCATGGACAAAGAGAGGGCCGAGGAGCTGTGGCACAACAGATTGATCTCTCTGCGACAGGAGAGGCTCATGGGAAGTCCTGTGACCTAATGGACACCAGAAGATGTTGCACTAATTTCCTACTGTAAAAACGTGTGAGAACATAAGCAGATGAACAGTTTTTGGTCTTGATGTGCGTATTATTATTTCGGTAATGTTGATGAAATTCAATTTACAAGCTACTGTTCTTCATTTTGCTTCATTTTTTTTTAACTAAGGAAGGATGTCAGAAAGTGTGTGTTTTACAATGTAGGTTTAGCATTTGATACAATTTGTGTTTGGTATTCATTCTGTAATAAAGATAGATGTGGTTTCATTTGACTGAGAACTATCTTGTGTTTTTGTACTTCAATGATGGACATACATTTAAGTGGGAATGAACTTGCACAAAAAACACCACGCTCTTCTTTAAAAATGCGTAACTTGTTGTGTTTTTAAAGGAAGATAGCAGCAGTAACAACAGTTATATACAAATGAATGAGTCACAAGGCCAGCCAAGAACTTCTTAAAAAAAGATTAACCTTGGTAACCTCATCTATTGGGCCATATGCTCACCTGCCCCTAACTTTTTGTACTTTTCTAATGATATATATATATTATTGTGTATGTTTATGTTTATCCAATGTTGTTTTTCTGTTGGAGCAGGGAGTCAAGGCAGTATAGAGTCCAGACTCAGGCCTATTTGTGGAACAGCCAGATGGTAAATCTATACTGCTTCTGGGACTGTGTGTCACTCCTGTACACACAAAATAGTCAGTGTTGTATTTAAAAAATGCTACCGAAGAAAAATGATTTGTTAAAGCAAATGCACAAATGAAACTTTGCTACATGTGCAGTGCTTGCTTTGGATGGGTGAAGTGAGTGTTTGTCCTCCTCACTCGTGTTAAATGGCTTTCCAAAAATGTCTTCATAAACCCTTCATTACCAAACAAATAATCATTTAGATATGACCACGTTCGTCAAATTAATGATCACTAAAGTGAGGTCTGTGGCACTTTACCAGGGTGTCTGGGATTCATTTATTTATTTAAAAGGATAAGATGTGGTTCAAAATCCAAAGTTTTAATGTTTAAAAAATAAATAAATAAAAAATAAAGTTAATATATTAGGTTTTAATCTAACACATCTAAAAGTGTTTTGATTAGCAAATATGTTTAATAAATGTGTAAAATCGTTCTGTCACATTTATATTGTGTTGTTCTTTCACATAACTATAAAAGTGTTTAACATAACATTATTCCTGGGGACAAATGTGAAAATTGAGAGCATCTGCATTAGATAACCCCCCCGCTGTTTGTGGTCACATCCAGCAAGTAATGAACCTTTGAGAAATCTCTGGAGTGCAGTTGCTATTGGCAGCAACACACAACATAAATGTTTTTGTTTTTATTTCAAATTGGTTTCGTTTTTTATTGCTTGATTTAGTTTGAGTGAGTTCCTTTTATTATTATTATTATTATTATTATTATTATTGTCATTATCATTATTATTATCATTATTATTATTATTATTATTATTATTATTATTATTATTATTATTATTATAGCCTGTTCAAAGTTTCAAATAACCAGCCAATTGGAGGCTCGGGTCTGCGTCACGTGGTCGGTGTCAGAGTGAGTTTGGTTCCTTGCCCCCTCCTCTGTGGTAACATTACCGAGGCTGAGCAGCGGTGGAACCGGGACACCTGTAGCGGAACGGATTATTATTTGAAAATCTTTATCTAACACATTTTGTTTACAGCCTCACATCCGTGGAAATGTTCAACAGTAATCACAGGGAATTTGATGAGGATCCGTTCTTCTCGTGAGTAGCCAAACTGTTAATAAATCTATTATAAGTGTTATTGAAATAACTCATTTTTGGCGGTTCTTATAATGCATCGATTAAAAACATCCTCAGAAGCAGCTAATCTTGAAGATAAATACAATTTGAAGTTGTAGTTATATTCATTTCAACAATGACTCTGTGTCCTGGAGAAAAACCAGACAAACTAACGATAACGTTAATGTTATTATTTTTTAGGCTAACTTTATAAAACTTTTTTTTTTTATTTGGTCACTGCCGAAGATATAGCCTAACATTAAGTTTCACTTTAAGCTATTTTCAGAAAAGTGAGAACAAGGTGTTAGGCCTAGTCTGCCTGCTTGTTTCTAAACATTGCATTTGAACTTTTCTGTTCTGAAACGGTTACCTAGCAACAGCTGTTAGAAACGTTATTTTTTAATAGTGAATTACTTTATAAAGTGTTTCTAGTTAGTGCTAGTGGAGCAATGTTTTAATGTCCATCCATGTTGCTATTTTCAGTGGTGGGAGAAGAACTCAGTGTAGTAAAAGTCCTGTATTCATAATGTTACTGAAGTTAAAGTACAAAAGTAGTGGCATTTAAATATACTTAAAGTATCAAAAGTAAAAGTACTCATTATGCAGATTTTCACTTTTCAGAATAATATATACTTTGTGTTTTGTTCATTATTATTGACGTATTTATCAAGCTGGTAAAAGTGGAACTAATTTAAATCACTTTATTTACTTCTGGGTAGCATGTGAATTTAATCCAGTTGTATCTAAAGTCTTTTTAGGTGTTGATCATATTTTTATCATTCATTTATATGTGAAAGTAACTTAAAGTGGACCTATCATGCTATATTTTAATAATATAGTGTAGGACCATACCTATATAAGGCATATTTATACTTATTTTTTTTCAAAATGCCAAACCGATCATGCCTCATTTCGCTCAATTTGCACTTTTTTAGCCCTGTTTTTGCAAGGGCTGATTCTGTGAGAACAGCACCACCTACAGGCCTGGCATATGTACTACAGCGTCTCCAGCGCTTTCGAACGGCAATGGCCGTGGCTGTCTCCTCCTGATTGGTGGAGTTGGCCCAATAGCCGTAGCGCCACCGTCCTGACGTCAGGACAGTGTTCAAATCTGGATCAGTTTTTATCAGATCCGTTGCAGCCCCTTTTTTAGAGATTTGGGTATGGAGGAAAATAGAGAGGGTTGTGTTTTCTGACACTTGGTGAGTTCCCTGGAACACCGGGGACACATATTCATGTATAAAAGACGTACAAAAGTGCATTTTGCATGATAGGTCCCCTTTAAGGTACTCCATAAATGTAGTGGAATAAAAGTACAATATTTACCTTTGAGTATAGAAGTTTTGTAGTGGAGTATAAGTACAAAGTAGCATAAAATGGAAATATAATGGAAGTACTCCAAAGTTGTACTTAAGTACAGACTTGAGTAAATGTACTCAGTAACTTTACACCACTGCCTATTTGAAATGTAGATACTAGTCTGTAAAACTTTAGGAGCTTTATGAAATCACATTATTTCCATTTCTATTCTTCTAACTACTGTACTCTGCCACTGTGTGCTACAGTCACAAGAGTGAACACCTGCTGTGTGGCCGCACATGACCTCACTTCTTAGAGTGTAAAGGTCGTAAAACATTATTTAAAGAGTGCTTATTATTTCAGGTTGTGTTATTTGAAGGATATGGACTCCAAGGTGGCCCGATAGAGGGATTTCAGTTTATTTTGCAGAGACCCTTTATTTTGTTATTCCTCTCCAAGTTTCATCATGGCTATCCCCAACATCCTGCTGCAGACTTGTTGCTATAAATGAGTGAAAGCTGAGATTCCCTTTCTCTTTGCTTCCTCTTCCTCTGCCATAGGGATCCTTTCCGGGCTCACACGGACCATATGCGGCAGATGATGCGAAGCTTCTCTGAGCCATTCGGCGGGAATGTAATGCCCAGTATAATGGATGGAAGAAATCAGGGTCGTGGCATGGCAGAACATCCTACCTCATCTGTGGCTTTGAGGGACGAACACAGGGTGAGAACATGCATTTGAAGAAGCACTCTTACAATTAGCTTGTAGACTCAAGTAAAATACATACATTTCTACCCAGTGTATTACAGTGTGTGCACAGGCGCACAACCGACTAACCAACATACATATCATTTTGGTCTATGATGGACAAACACCTGTTGTAGCTGTTTGTTCATTAAGAGGCCTCATGACCCTCTCTCTCTAATGCACATAGGCATATAACCAGAAGATTGGTGTTTGGAGAAAGTTTACTGAGGGTATAGTGGAAGCTGGCCACTGGCAGCGTAACTGGAGCACCACTCACCGAGGTATGGGGCCATGTGAGTCTCTAGTTTAGTAAAAGGGCAACCCCCTTGGCCTCACTGGACAGTTATATCTAGCCCTGAGGAGCCCTATATATAGTGCATTGTTCCACTGACATACTGCTTTCTTGCAATACAAGGTACAGACTTCTTTAACAGTCAAACCAACAGGACCCCTGAGAATTCTGTGTGGCTGTGCTGAGATGAGCTGTGGCTGGAAATAACACTTTATTTTGATAATATTGTAATAGGCTCCGGATTCATGTTAAATTAAAACACTTAAAGGTGGGGTAGGTAAGTTTGAGAAACCGGCTCGAGATACACTTTTTGTTATATTCCATGGAATGCTCTTAACATCCCGATAGCAATGAATATCTTAAGTGCTTTGACAAAAAATCCATAAAAAAATGTCACCTGTGGAAGCCGTAGAACTGTAAAAAGCACGACCAATCATTTTAGCCGTCCCGGCTAAAATAACTGGATGGCCTACCTGCCTGTCAGCCTTCCATCTGTGCACAAACTTATCTCGTGCCCTCATTGGTCATGTGCGCGTTCGTGTGTGTTGGAGGAGGGGCTCTGTAAGGAAGTGGCAGATTTTCTCCGGTTGTGTATTTTCAAATTCTAGCGCACTCGAGCTGGTTTCTCCGAAATTACCTACCCTACCTTTAATTATATTTTTTAAATGGACAACGTACATTAATCAACAGTCAAACGAATGTTAGATTAAAGGCTAGTTTTCATCTGTCTTTCCTCTGCCTCATGTTGTTAGGAATTCTAAAATAAAACAAAAGTACTACACTGTGGTAAAAAGCATACAGTATAGTCAAATTGATACCTGTTAACAACTTTATACAGTCAAACACTTTTAAGCTACATATTCTTTAAAATAGTTTATCTTGAAACACAACTGCTACCCCATACATATTTAATTGCAAGCCCTTATGTTATATCAGCTAAGAACAAGGTTGGGAGAGCTGTGGCCTTTAAGTATTAGTTGTTATAACTTTCAATAATTATTGTTCTGTAACATTTTGATGTTATTTGTGCAGTGTTGTAGAGGCAGGCAGAGGAATGGTTCTGGTCTGCCATGTTTTGCACCCGTTCACCTCTCCTAACTCCAATATGTGCTGCTTATATCTCCTTCCTAAATCCACTGTAGTCCCTCTCACCTGCTTTAACCCCACTACCT